ACCTGCAGAACTTATGTTACAACCCAATATTATTCAATGTCCTTCATCTCAATCCAGTAAGTTACTCATTAGCTTTTGCAAATAGTTGGCTTTTATAAAAATTTTATCCCTCGTTTTGCTCAAATATCAGCACTACTCAAGCAATTTACTCGCAAAGGTTTTCCATTTATATGGACTAAACCAGAACGATTATCATTTGATCAATTAAAAGCCGCTGTAACATCTCCTACAGCTCTTATTCTGCCTGATCCTTCACGACCATATACTATTCGTATAGATCCTTCACATGTCGGTGTAAGTACTGCACTAGTACAAAAGCAACTTCGTGATTATAATGCTAAATCAACTATATCATTATATAAAACAGTTGCTTTTGCATCCTGAAGTTTAAAAAACGCTAAAAAGAAATATGCTGATATTGAACTTGAAGCATTAGCTATTTGGTGGAACGTTATTCAAAAGCTTCGATCATATATTGAAGGTCAACAATTTTTTCCTGGAACTGTTGATAAACCATTACTATCATTGATGAAAAAGCCTTATTATAATGCTCGTATTGAACGATGGATGACAATATTACAACAATATGGTATGATTATCCGACATATACCTGGAAAAGAAAATACAACTTTTGATACTCTTTCCAGTTATCCAATTGATAAACCTGATGTCAATGATGAAGATGCATCTGGTATTGTTACTTCTTCAAAGCAAACTGAAGATCTTCTCGTCAATATTGTTACAACTCATTCAATACCACGACTATAGGTGTTAGCCGATCATTTGATCAGCGGCGGCGGTGGAAAAGTTTTAAGGCATCGGCGGTGGCGACGGCAAGGAGCTCTGGCCGAGGAGGTCATTTTCGGCGGCGGCGGCGGCGACGAAAAAATTTTTCCTATGTTATTTCACAGGGTCTTTCGTAGATTCCCACCGTTAAGACAAACATTAGACGTTCTGTTCTCACAGAATTATACGCTGTTTTCCTCTTAGCACGCTCATGTCTTTTTATGGAAAAAATTTTCCACTAGATGTAACTTTATTTTCATTAATTCAAAAAATTCACATTGTCCCATCATAAAATAACTTCAAACCACACAACAAGGACTCATGATATAAGCCGAAATGGCAATAATGTGACTAACCATCTAAAATACAAATTAAATTCAAACATGATAGCTTATGGCTGGCACTTTATCTCTACTTTACCAAATAGAGTAAAGTATTAGAACTTTACTTTACCCAATCAAGTAAAGTTAAATACGTTACCCAAAAAGTAAAGTAAAGTAAAGTGAAAAAAAATGAAGCTGTATGTTTTAAATTTTTTGGCAATTTCTTAGTTCAGGATCGTGTAGAAATAATCTTAGAACGAATCAAAGTTTATTCAATATCGTTTCGTCTTAAAATTAGTGTGAAAAAAAATAAGTAAAGCCGAAAAATGTCGATTTTTTATGAATACATGAAAAATCTTGTTTGGTTAACTTTATCTCACTTTATTATCCACATTCAAACTATAGTATTTTACTTTACTCTACTTTACTTTACTTTACTTTACTTTTTAAAAGTAAAATAAAGATAATGTGCCATCCCTATGGTAGCTCGAATTAGATCATAAGTGAAACTAACATTGAAATTAGAATTTGAATCCAAATTCAAATCGATACTTTTCTGTGAGTGGAGAAAAAGAGCAAGATTTGTTTTCATTGATTATTTGAATTCAAATTGAAACTAAATATTTTTCTTTTTTCTAAACTGGCAGGAGAGTGTCGATTGGAATTCGAATTTGAATCGCAATGTTAGTTAAATTTATATTCGAACTCAAACTAGACAGTTAGTCGAAACTGCATACTGAATAAGTCAAGAATCGTAAAACTGAGAAAATAATAGCGATGAATCTATTGTGCATGAAGGAATAAGGCAAATGAGAACCTAATAAATATGGTAGCGTCACAAAATCACAAGGAGACATATTTACTTATCAGCTCGGTTTTCAGACCATATGTCATCCAAGAAAAAATACACTAATTCCTATTTTTTAAAAGTTCTGTTGGTTTCAGGAATCTCTAATTGTCACATAGATCAAACTTGCGATATTACTGATTATTATCAACAAGTGATAAGTTAGAAAAAGAGGAAGTTTGAACTGTGACTTTTTACTCGATCGGCGGCGGCGGCGGATGAAAATTTTATCGGTGGCTAACACCTCTAGCCACGACAACATCCACTTCCTGTTCATTCAACAACAACTTCATCATAATCTCATTCTTCCATAACAACACCATCACCTGCTACATCTTGATCTACTTCACCTATTACATCTTCTTCATTCCTCAATGACATTAACATTTCATTCGAACATGATACATTATACCTACATCAAAATCAAGATCCTGATGTTCAAAAAATACAAAATGTTTCATCATTAAATTCTAAATATACACTGAATGATCATAATATCCTTTATAAAATTATTACTAAAAGAATGAGTGTAGGTTAGTGCCCTACTTGACCGCCGTGACTCACGGGGTAGTCACGGGTACTAAAATGATTATCTAATGTCGAGGTCTCAGCACTAGGGAGAGATAGATGAACCTTCACCGCACTACACGCCCCTCCCCCCCTTCGCCGGGTCATCAGTTTTCGAAAAAGCAGGGCTATGCCCGTGAGCAAAAAATTTGGTTACGCCCGACACTAGAGTGGGTTGGCATGGATGTGGGTGTGATTGTGCTGAAGGGTCTAGGAGTCTTTGAGTGCTTGTAACTAGGGCTCGGATGTGGACGGGATGCAAAGGTGGATGTCGATTTGTACCTGAGAACACTCGTCGCTGCATGTGAAGTCTTTACACGATACGCCCACACCTACATCTATCCGCAACGACATTAAGACGCCATAATCAACATCCTACATTTCACACCGGCACTTCACACTTCACATACGCACTCTACATCTCACAATTCACATTTTACATCTACACCCCACATCCCACATTGCACACATTCACCTAGGGATGTCAGTTTCGGGTTACGTTCGCAGGAACTCGAAGCCCGCTGTGGGTTTCTGTTCCTAGAAACTCGTGAACCCATAATGTCTTAAAACAAATTGAAAGACTAGATATGTCTAAGCATGTCCAGAGGATCGAAAATGAGTGAAAACGAACTCTCTAGTTGATTCCCGTTGTATTAGAAACGGCAGTCAAAGAACAGAAATCCTCATACCCCTACACTCACTCACACTTTCATACATATTCACTTTTTCAGTGTCTTGTGATTGGTAACCAGGCATATTTAAAATGGGACTGGCTAGTTCGGACCCTTTAAAAATGCATTCAACAAGTTCTTAGTATGTGTGACACAGTAAGCTACCACTATTAATGTAAAATAACGATTTCGTCATCATCTTTTATTTCCTTCTGACGCTTTCATTGGACTATGAAAACAAAGAATGATTTTTGTTTTTTATCGAACAATACCTTCTTTTCAGAGTGACGCACATTTCTCCT